AGAAGATTTTTTTCTGCAATGAATTAAAAGTATGCTGAAGAAATTATAATAACAAAATAAAGTTACAAAAAAGGCGTTTTCGTATTAGTATTATTTATAAATATATAGTAATGCATATAGTATAAACATATGTAATAATTATAGAGCATATTATATATATGTAAATTTAAAAATATACGTTTGTTTGTTTCTTTATCGAATTTTCAAACGTAAATACACATACAGTATTAACAACATCGCACCAAATACTGTTTGGTGCGGTGCTGTTAATACTGTATGTGTATTTACGTTTGAAAATCTGCAGAGTCATAACGATCTTTTCATAACGATCACCGCACCGAACACTGTTTGGTGCGGTGATCGTTATGAAAAGATCATTATGACTGCAGATTTTTGAGCACAATATATGTGTATATTGTTTTAATACAATTACATTGAAATTTTAATAACAAATTTGCATATGGCTTACTGGATTGAATAAACATTTTCTGCACGTGGATGCAATGCTTCATCATGGTCATCATGTGACTAAAATTCTTCGATATTTGATTCGTTTTTTCGCAACGATGAACAGAGTGGCTCAGAATGAAAGGATGTCGTTGGTAAAGGTTCAGTGGATTTACGTCGAGATTCGTTTTTTCGCGACGATAAACAGAGTGGCTCAGAATGAAAGGATGTCGTTGGTAAAGGTTCCGTGGATTTACGTCGAGATGCTTTCGTCGATGTACTAACGGTCAATAAGTACTTAGCATTAATTGCGTTGAAATTCGAATAACATTGCGTATGATATCCAACATTTGAATCTATTGAATTCCGCAATATTGTGTCACTGTACTTAATTCCATGTTCCTTTCGAATTTTCAATGACTCGTTGCATTTTGCTAATCTTTCGAACGTAAATCGTTTAATATCCCCATCTTTGCCACAGATAAAACACGTTATGCTTGTCATTTTAAGTGCACAAGAATAAATCAAACGGTTACGTTGGTTGTTCCGTTAAGACTCTTGGGACAACCGCGATTCATATTTATTTTGCTTATATTTTTGTTTTAAACCTTAAATTGGTCGCGCGGGGTCGCAGCGACTTTAAGCGCTTTTGTTTTGATGATTTCTAGTTTGGCGCGATTATATATATGTATATACTTATGTATAACTACAGGCGCGCGTTCGACGCGCGCATTTACTAAATTATTGACAAAATAAAAAATGCTGTTCATAATTTAACATTTTCTATTTTTAAATATAAAGTAAGGTGTAATAATAATGAGGTGCAAAGTAAAATATAAGATAAAATATACATACAAGGTAGACCATTATTTTATTTAATATACGCAAATGTCTCGAAAAGGAAAAGGTTTTCCATACAATGTTTCAAACAAAAGTTGTATGGTTTTGAGGGGGAAACACATTGAGATTATCAATTTAATCGTAGATGGCGTCATTTTCGAGATTTCATTGACAAGACCATTGTTTTAAATGAAACTACCCTAATTGTTCTATGTAAATAAATTATTTGTAACATTCTGCATAAAAAGTTGTAAAGGTAATATGATCAAAAATTGCATTGTTTATGAGATATTTGATATCAAACTGACATATTTTGACATAAAAAAAAATATTTTGTAAAATATTTATTTTTCGATAATCTTACTCTTAAACTTTTATGCACAGATTAATGAGGCGAATTAATTGATGCAAAAAAAAACACAAAAAAAAACGCTTTTTCAAAAAAAGAGACGATTTATTTGCGCAATTATAATCGCGTATGCGGACACGGGCGCAAATAATCATGGACCGAGCCTCTCTGGAGAACCTCACAATGGAGCAGCTTCGTGAGGAAGCGGAGAGATACGCTCTCCCGACGACGGGAGGCCGTAGTCATCTAGTAGACTCGATTATGAGTCACCTCGAAAGGCATGGGCCAGTCCAGGAGTTGGCCCAGCTCACACTTCAGCCGAGTAGGGCACCGAACAAAAAGACGGCGCCGGCAAGAGCCGCAGGGCCGTCGGAAACTTCGGCGACGGCTTCGGAGTCGCAGGAGACGACGGAGATGATAAAACAGATGCTGGTGACCCTCCAGCAGCAGCAGCAGCAGTTGAACATGTTGTTCAACTTGGTCATGGAGCAGCGACGAGAGGCCGCCGCTGCCCCGGTTCAGCAGCAAGATGCGGAGTCTGTTTCTCCGCCGGGACCCTCAAGGGCCCCGAGAGTTTCTCCGACGGACGACGTAGACCGTCGGACGGCGGAGTCCTGGACGCCGACCGGTTCAATCCAGGCACTGGCCTCTCAAATCCCGGAATTCGCGGGCCAGGAAGAGGATAATGTGTACGCCTGGGTCCGACGGGTAGACAAAGTCGCCCAAGTCGACAGCGTCTCGGATGGAGCGATCCTCTTGGCAGCCTCCAGCCGCCTCACCAAATCGGCCCGTCGGTGATACCACGTCCAGGGGGATGCCGCGGTGGAGTCCTGGAGCGGCCTGCGGACAGAATTAATAAAAATTTTTTAAGAAAAATACCGTTTTTCCGCGTAACGCAGAAGATCGAGGCTCGGAAGTGGCTTCCAGCCAAGGAAACCTTCAATAACTATGCCATCGAGAAGTTGGCGATGATGCACCAAGTGGTCCCAGAAGATGCACCAACCTTCCTGAAGCGGACAAGGTGCATCTTCTGGTAAGCGGAATCACCCTGACGACACTGAAGGCGACCGCGCTGTCTCTATCGGAGGACACCGTGGACGGTTTTCTGGAGAGGATGCGGCGAATCACCCAGAGCGCCTCCGAGTGGGACCGGAAGCCGATCCAGTAGGGTCAGTCCAGCAAGGGCGGCAAGGATTTCTGTAGAAATTGTGGTAAAAAAGGACATACGCACAAGGACTATCGAGGTGAGCCTACCTGTTTTTACTGTAAAGAGAGAGGACATCGTCGGTTTGATTGCCCTATCCTAAAGAAAAAGGAGACGAAGTCGGCAACCAGGGCGCAGCCTGCAGCTGAGATCACTGCGGCCAGCGTGACGGCAGACGAGATTGCGTCCGATTTCGTGGCGGCAACCCATGATGCGCGTAATTCGACTGTCAATGATCCATTGATCTGCGTAAATAAAATTTTAGAAAATTCATGCGATTTATTAGGCCTTGTTGATACGGGTAGTCCGGTTTCATTAGTAAAAAACAGCGTTTACAAGAAATATATTGCACCGTTTTGTGTTCTAAAATCGGTGGAAACGAATTTGCGTAATCTCTCGAACATTCCGTTGAAAATACTCGGGTCGGTAAATGTACAAATAACATTGCAAAAAATTAAAGGCAAGAAGTTTTCGATCAGATTGTATGTTTTACATTCCGACGCGTTTCAAGGCGATGTTATTCTTGGTAGAGAATTTTTGTCAAAAAACATCTTACTTTAGTGTACGAACCAGCGGCACAAGGTGAACATGATCGCATAAACATGTTTTTGCACTTGCCTCTTTACATCGACGAGAACTCGAGTCTAAAACAAATATTAGAGGATCATAAAATAGACTTTGAACACGAAACAAAAATACGGTTACAAAAACTTATTTTGAAAATTCAGGAACAGGACACGTCACCTGATAAAGACGACTTCTCGGTACACGTGCACTTTTTACTAGATTTACGTGGTTATTTCCTAATAAAACAACTAGTAGTAAGGAATCGATTGAATGTTTAGAAAGTATCTTTACAATTTTTGGCAATCCTACAGAATTAGTTTCAGACAGAAAAACAACCTTTACTTCAAAAGAATTCATTGAATCAATCTCGGTCAAAGGTATCAAGCACCGCAAGGTGGCTGTCGCAGCACCATGGGCTAATAGAACAGTTGAGAGAGTAAACAGATTTTTGAAATCATCTGTGACCAAGCTAATAGATTCAACAGATGAGTGGAAAAATTTCCTAGGAAAGATGCAATACGTAATCAATAATACTTACCACGCGGTAATCAAATCTAGTCCAGCGAAATTAATGTTAGGCTTTGACCAGCGCAGCCATTCGGATCACTCTTTAGCCAGTTTCACGAAGACCCTTATCACTGTTGATGAGGACCTGGAAAAAGAAAGAAACATGAATAGGGACAATGCCTCACGGGCAACAGATCTTGTGCGAGCATCTAATAAAGAGTACAAAGATACTCAAAGTATCAAGGATCCTCCTGAATCTGGCGCTGGACAACTCGTCGGCGCCGCCCCGTCATCGACAAGATCGCCCCTGACATACTGGGGCCGGAGGAGATGGACGTCGCCTTGGCTCGGTGGATCCGGGAAGTCTAGGAAGCAAACTTCCATCTAGATCTGCGAGATCTTCGTACCGGGAAGTCGCTGGCGACCAAAAGTCCGCTCAGGAAGTTGGCTTCCGTACTTGACGACGAGGGCGTCTTGCGGGTTGGCGGGCGGCTGAAACACTCTGTCCTGGATGCCGACCAGCGACATCCGGTCATTCTGCCACCAGGATCACATCTAACTTACCTGGTGATCGATGCCGTTCACAGACGCACCCTGCATGGAGAAGTCCAGTCCACCGTGGGGAACATCAGACAGCGTTTTTGGATTTCACGCGCCTGCCAACTGGTGCGAAGCCACATTCATCGCTGCCTCCCCTGCGTGCAATGGCGAGCGGTCACTCTGCAACCGAGAATGGGGGATCTGCCGAAGACGCGGGTCACCCCAAGTCGATCCTTCTTTCACACCGGCGTGGACCTCGCTGGCCCGGTTTAACTTAGAACAACGAAGGGCCGTGGTCACAAAGCCACAAGGGCTTCCTAGTAATCTTCGTCTGTTTTAGCTCCCGCGCCGTCCATCTGGAGGTGACCAGCGATTACTCCGCCGAAGCCTTCCTAGCTGCCTTTCGCCGGTTCGTGTCGCGTCGAGGGAGATGCACGGCCCTGTACAGCGACTGCGGGACCAACTTTGTGGGTGCGGACCGGCAGCTTAGGGAGCTCTTCAGGGCGGCGAGCGGCGAAGTCCACGCCCTCGTTGGTCGCCTAGCAGATGAGGGAGTTCGGTGGATTGAAAATCGAATTGATTTTCAATCCACCGTCGGCTCCCCATTTCGGCGGCCTGTGGGAGGCGGCTGTCAAGGCCGTCAAACACCACCTGCGGCGCACCATCGGAGAGGCTAAGCTCACCTTCGAGGAGCTGTCCACGCTCCTCGTGGAGGTCGAAGCCTGTCTGAACTCAAGGCCACTCGGGGCCTTGTCGGATGATCCAGACGACCTTGACGCCCTGACGCCCGAGCACTTCCTGGTGGGAGGGCCTCTCCTCAGCATCCCGGAGCCGTCCCTCTTGGATGCCCAGACCAGCCGTCTGAGCCGGTGGCGTCTTCTGCAGCAGATGCGGGACCATCTCTGGCAGCGATGGACCCGCGAATACCTTCAGGGGCTCACACCACGATCCAAGTGGTGGACCTCCCAGGGAAACCTCTGCGAAGGCTAGCTGTGCCTAATTAAAGGGGAGAGCACCCCACCGTGCCGGTGGCCGCTCGTCCGAGTTACGCGCTTGCACCCGGGCGAGAATGGTCAAGTGCGCGTGGTGGACGTCCGCACCACCGTTGGCGAGCTGACCCGGCCAGTGGTCAAGCTAGTACCACTGCCGACGGCAGCCGCTGTGGAGGCCGGGACCCCCGCGCAACCACGTATCTCGTACAACCTCGCGCCCGGAAAGATCTGTAAATTATTGTAAAATAGTTGTTCGTCTCACTATCATCAAAATTGTACTGCATTAACTCCTCTCATACTCACCTGTCTCGCACATTTGGTCGTTCGTCGTCGCTCCACGCGCTCATCGCATGGCACATGGGGCTCCAACCTCGCCTACCAAAACTTGCGATCGCGCTCGACCCCCCGGTCCGCGGCCGCGACGATTCGCCAGTCGGTACACTACCCCTAGCAAACCCTAGGATCGTTCGTCGCGTGTACCCCGACGAAGGCGGGCGGGATGTTGCGGATTGTAGAGAGAGAGAGAGAGAGAGAGAGAGAGAGTATGTGTGTGTATGTAAATGCATCTTGGAGTGCATTCTTTGCCTTGCGACAAGCGCAGCTAACCGCGCTGAATAGCCGCTCGAATTTGGCGCGACGATTCGCGCTATGACCCCGGATGCCAATCGCGAGCGAATGCGCCCCGCTACATCGCATTACAGCGCGCGTAGCGCTTGCGATCCTCCGTCGTTTGAACGCTGTCAGGTAACCGTCCTGTGAGGAAAATAAACCGGCGACAACAAGCGAGCTTGTCCTCCGACATTCGAGAGGTTTCTATCGTTACAGGGAAAGAACACAAACACGGTGTTCCTTAATTCGGAACCCTCTCGAAGGTCGGTCAAAAAAGAGATCGCGTTGGTTCGCGCGTTCTGCTGTCTTACAAAATTAGTCAGTCAGCAAGTCGTTCGCGCGTACAGACAGAGTTACTTTCTCGGTTTCGTCGCACTTTTCGCGAGAGATCGATTTGTCGTCGAATTGCACTTCTGACAGTCGTCGCACGCTTCTAGTCGCAGTTCACTTGCATTGAAAGCACTCTTGTACATTATAAGTAGTCTGTAAATATAGTGTGTGCCGTGAACTTCTTATTCCCTTTCTTTCTTTCTTCCTTTTTTTCCTGCTGTGCCCCCCTAAGCTCCTAGCACTCGCGTCCACGCACCAACCTTTCATCACTCCGCGTAGCACCGAATATTGCACAATTATTTTTGTCATTTTTAGTTTAAAAATATAAGTTAAAAAGCCGTTTTAATTTTATTTATGTATAAGAACAATTAAGTTACAGAATTCCTTTTGTGATGTTATAAAGTTAAATGTGATATTTAATTTCTATAAAAATTGATCTAATAGTTAATTTTTCTATAAAAATTGATACGTGTAATAAATAAAAAATTAATTGCAATAATATTTTTATTTATATATATGCGCGTATGCAATTCTCAAACATACATATATTATATATAATATAATAATAATAAATATAATAATAACAAATATAATGATAATAAATAAGTAATAATGTATTCCAAAGTTATTTTGTACACATATAATTTAATATATGTATATAATAAAAGTTTTTCAAACTTTATATCTATATGTAATTTAATTAAAAACCTATAAATATAATATAAATGTATATATATATATTTCTACAGTAATATTGCAATTATATAACAGGAATTGTTGCTCATATATAACTACAATATAACATGTTATATTACATGTTACATTTATGAGTGGGAAATAATAATGTAACAGTAATGTATAAGTTACTTTCCTGTAATATAAACTATTACATCATTTTCTATTGCAGTTATATAACATTGATATAACTGTGTTTGCCGGGTAATAATTGTAATAATAAATCTTTAATAATAGCAATAACCTTTGTTTTTAATTTGGCTGTCAACGATTTTGATAATATGAAATGACGCGCGCGGAAACTCGATTCCGTTCCGATTTCAACGAGATTCATAATAACTGAAAGATGCAAATAAAATTGTGATCGGAAACTCGCCGATCGGAAACGTGATATTCCGATCGGAATCATGAAAATTACATAATAGCTGCCCAGGATTTTTTACCGAAGAGACAATCATTTCCGAAATTTTTTTGACATACGGGATGACGAATAATTTTTTTCTTATTATTTCTTTTTCTGTATTATGTGTTAGTCCATTATTTATTTGTTTTTTTTTATGCTTTTTTTGGAAATAAAATATCCCACCCTATGATTTATTTTGTTAAGTATGAGGTCCAGAGAATAACCGTTGTTTAGTAAAATATTAATAATTAATTCTATATTTTTGTTAAAAAATTGTGGATATGATAGTAAGAAGCATCTATCCACTAAATTAAAAAGTACTTCAATTTTATGGCAATGTGCATGGTTGGAATAGAATAATAGTATTCTTCCTGAAAAGGTTTCTGTTCGTGATTGAGCGCCGAAATTAAGAACTCTAGCTTTAGGCTTGTGGGGACAGCACCGATCGAGTGCTGCTGATTCGAAAAGCCCCCTCCATCGAGTATCGATACATTCCGAAGCTTGTTTTTAATTTCTCACTCTGCTTTGTGCCTCGGCGAGATATACTCGTGTTTAGAGTCCTCACTGATTGTTAGTGAAGTAAATGTCGAGTTGTATTACAATGGAGTAAAATAAGTGAAATTGATCAATTAACTGTGTAATTTCTTCTCTTATCTCTCAATGATATTTCCCAACGCGCTGCCGGATTAAAACGAAATTATTATTGGCAAACAGTTTCTTTTTGGTACCAATTCAAATATATCATATTAAACAATTTGCGTAATTAAACAATTTGCTAAAATTAATGTATTTTTTAAAATTAAAAGTTAGCAGTGCTAAGTAATTTTTTATTTAAAATTTTTCGATTCCCGATTCAGCGACTTTGGATCTATATTTTTCTCTCGCATTTATTTCCTTAGGGAGAAAGAGGGGATGCATGGAATTAAATTTCATGTCTAGAGATTATCCTATTTTAAGTCTTGACCGTGACCAAGTAAAATTTGGTGCCTTGTGCACAGGTATTTAATTCTAACAAACAAATTTTTAGTTTTATTGGGATAACGCACTGTCATCCGCGATTTGGCTCCTATTGCCTGTTTATACACTTTAGATTTATATTTAATATTACAGAGCCTTGTTAAACTTTTACAATTTTTTATTAAAAAAATTTTTTTTTATTTTTTTAAAATTTATATATATATTTTTGTTTCTTTTAAAAAATTTAATTTCCAAATTCTTATTTTTTTTATTTTTGAGTTTATTTTTAATTAGGGCAAATTTTTAATATTATTATTTTTGTAGAATATATAATTTATAAAATTAAAACTACTATTTTATATAACGTCTTTGATTAATTAAATAAAATGAAAATATTTAAAAAGTTTTTAGTTTTATAAATTTTTATTTTTACTTAGCTCAATTTTTTTGATATCATTACTTTTTTGTAGGATTTTGGAGATATATAGTTTTTAACGCAAATTTAGCATCTTTTTTTATCTTTTTTTAAAGGTAATTTTTTTAGAGATATCACTCTTTTTTGTACTATTTCTTTATTAAGTGTCATTAAATAAATAAATAAAGAACCCACCACTACCCATATTTTATTAAAAAAGGACGGTCTTCTTATTCACCAAATTGCCAATAACATTATGATATTTTTTTATATTAAAAGATTGATGAAAATATATTAATTATTAATCACAAGTTAAATATTATGTACTATTATGTAGTATTATATTATGTAGTATGTACTTTTAATTCAATAACATATATATATATATATATATATATATTTATATTTTTTGTAAAAAAAGTAGATAAACATCTTTGGCACCTTTAGACCATTGCCTTTTTTTAACTTGAGCATCATTAGTTTCGACCATTTCATTGGTTAAATGAGATCTTAAGACGATCTCAATTATAACATCTAATATAAATAATACAATATAAACAATATCAATCTTATATTATCTTAAGATTTTATTGAACCAATAAAATGGTCGCATATCAACATTTTATTTATCAGTTGAAAGAGATATTAAAACAATCTTAAATATAAGATTAAACTATAAATACAATACACTATATAATAAAAATTAAAATAAATAATTTTAAAATAAAATAAAATAAACTTTTGAGATAAACACAAATAAAATAAACTTTTGAGATAAACACGAATAAACAAATGCGGAACCCTCTCTACCTCCCGTATAGATTAATAGACGAGAAAAATTTATACATTATATTATACATTATACATTATTATATATTTTGTATATATTTTTTATTTTTTATTTTGACTTCTTTAGTTCCTTGGCCCTCCAGATTCGTGGCTCTTAATAACGGTAAAAACATTTAATATATAATAGTACAGAAATGTAATTAAATTAATAATAATAGGGACATTTACCTTATACACCCTGTATATATATATATTTTAACAGTCATTTTTATCTATGCTGCATCGATGTATCGAAGCATCAATCCTCATCAAGAAACACGTCAAAAAAATAAGAAACGCTGAATCAACGCATCCGCAGCAATCGTGGATAAGGTTAGTAATACAATTATATTTATTTATTTTAATAATTATATTACAGTATTATAATCATATTACTATTATTATTATTAATTTATTTCATAACTTTTTATATCTTTTCATATTTATTTATAGATATCCGACGGATTGGAAGATTTGGACATGGAGGACTTTGAAATGGATTTATTAAAATTAACAAATTCCGGCGCCGCTACTTCTGGCGCCGCTACTTTTGCCACCGCTGCTCCTGCCGCTGCTGCTCCTGGCGCCGCTGCTTCTGAAGTCGTTGCACCTGAAGCCGCTGTCCACTGCGCCGCTGCTCCCGGCGCTGCTATCCCCTGCGCTGCTGCGCCCGGCGCCGCTATCCCTTACGCCACTACTCCCCGCACTGCTGTTCCCGGCG